ATGTATTTATTAGTATTATTATTTATTATTATGTATTTATTATGTATTTATTATTTATTATGTATTTATTATTATTTATTATTATTATGTATTTATTATTTATTATTATGTATTTATTATTTATTATGTATTTATTATTATTATTATAATTTTTTAGTAAAACATTAATAGTGCCATTTACCTGCCTCCCCCCAATACAAAATCCTTGCAAACACACACATCACCCTCACCCAGCACCCTAACATTGACACAGCACCCCAACACACACACACACACACACAGCACCCTAACACCAGCACCCTAACATTGACACAGCACCCTAACACCAGCACCCTAAAACACACAGCACCCTAACACACTCACAGCTCCTAACACCAGCACCCTAACACACACACAGCACCCTAACATTGACACAGCACCCTAACACACACACAGCACCGTAGCACTCACACAGCATCCTAACACCAGCACCCCAACACACACACAGCACCCTAACACCAGCACCCTAACATTGACACAGCACCCCAACACACACACAGCACCCTAACACCAGCACCCTAACATTGACACAGCACCCTAACACCAGCACCCTAACATTGACACAGAACCCTAACACACACACAGAACCTTAACACACACACAGCACCCTAACACACACACAGCACCCTAACACCAGCACCCTAACATTGACACAGAACCCTAACACACACACAGCACCCTAACACCAGCACCCTAATTCCAGCACCCTAACATTGACACATCACCCTAACACACACAGCACCCTAACACACACATAGCACCCTAACACACACATAGCACCCTAACACTCACACAGCACCCTAAAAGACACACAGCACCCTAACACCAGCACCCTAACATTGACACAGCATCCTAACATTGACACAGCACCCTAACACATACAGCAACCTAGCACACACACACACATCACCCCAACACATACACAGCAACCCAACACGTACACAGCAACCCAACACACACACAGCAACCCAACACATACACAGCAACTCAACACACACACAGCACCCCAACACACATCACCCTCAAATACACAGAACCCTCGCTCAGTGCCCTAACACACAGCGCCCTCACACACACATACTGCACCCCCCACACACTCCACCCTCCCACACACACACTATACTCCTCACAAATGCACACTACACCCCTCACACACACAGCACCCCCCAAACACACTGCACCACTCACACACTCACTAGATCTCCTATACACACTCCTGAGTCCTTCAAACACACACTAGATCCCCTACACACAGTCGCTGCACCACTTACACAAACACTACATTTCTGACATACACACTCAGGATCCCCTATGAACACACTAGATACCCTTTAAGCAAAGTGAGTATTAAAATACAGTGAGTATTCCATTTATGGAAACCCCTGAGACAAGTTTCAAGCAAACACAATGCAAGCATGTTATTAAATTTGCTTGAGCTGTGCAGATCAAATACAGGGCCCTTTTCTCATGCCCTGGAAGAGCATTGAACCAACATGCTCACTTTGAGATGGGGCATGCTTGTCATTGGGGATGACAAAACACACCCTATCTGGCCCCGCCCCCTTTTCAGTGGGCCGCTGTAATTAAAAATGCCCGGGCCGAATTTTTTCCCCAGTCCGGCCCTGGCTGATACTGAGGTGATTAGTCCACCAAAATGTTTTAATAAGAATAAATTATTTAGAATAATATATTTAAAGGTTGGCAAGCCTAGGGGCCCCTATGCTTGTGAAAACCCCTGTCAACTGCCCAGTGTACCCGTGCGTTCAGACAGCCCTGGGTATAATACAGAGTTAGACTGGGTGTAATACAGAGTCAGGCTGGGTGTAATACAGGGTCAGGCTGGGTGTAATACAGGGTCAGGCTGGGTGTAATACAGAGTTAGAATAGGTATACGAGAGTCAGGCTGGGTGTAATACAGGGTCAGGCTGGGTGTAATAGAGAGACAGAGTCAGGCTGGGTGTAATACAGAGTCAGACTGGGTGTAATACAGGGTCAGGCTGAGTGTAATACAGGGCCAGGCTGGGTGTAATACAGGGTCGGGCTGGGTGTAATACAGGGTCGGGCTGGGTGTGATAGAGGGTCGGGCTGGGTGTGATAGAGGGTCGGGCTGGGTGTGATAGAGGGTCGGGCTGGGTGTGATAGAAGGGCAGGCTGAGTGTGATACAGGGTCGAGCTGGGTGTAATAGAACCAAGCTGGGTGTAATACAGGGTCAGGCTGGGTGTAATACAGGGTCAGGCTGGGTGTAATACAGGGTCAGGCTGGGTGTAATACAGGGTCAGGCTGGGTGTAATACAGGGTCAGGCTGGGTGTAATACAGGGTCAGGCTGAGGGCCAGTTTGCAGTGAGGGGGGCCAGGTTATCTCAGAATCAGGCTGGGGGCCAGTTTGCAGTGAGGGGGGCCAGGTTTGGACAGGTTATCTCAGAGTCAGACTGGGGGCCAGTTTGCAGTGAGGG